GATTACACACGGCACGTCATTATATTGGCCGTCGAGAGCGTACGTACCGCCGTGGTGGCGTAGGGGGTAAAGGGGGGGGAAAGGAAAACTGCCGGTATATAAATGGGAATTAGTAGAGCATTCGCGCGAACAAACGAGCACGTTCGTCAATGTGTGCTTGAGTGTGTGTGTGTATGTATCTCTCTCTCTCTCTCTCTTTCTCTCTTTCTTTACGGGTATGCATGTGTATGTATGTGTTAGTACGTCTATCTATACCAACTACATATTCTCTCATGTGTGTCTCTGCTCGTGCGTTGAAATTCGTTCGTTCTCTTCGACTAACAACGCTAGAAATGGAAAGGAAGAATCGTTCTTTAGAAAATGCAATCTCTCATCTCTAGTTTTGTGTTAGCCGATTATGAGAGCTCCCTTAAATTCATTCCCTATCTACGTGCTTTTCACCTACTTAACGTGCAACACGGAATACTAACTCGACTCATTAACGAAATGTTACCCGGGATCCATGGTTTATTTCAAAGAGCTGCTTCGTTGCCTGATAATCTACAAAGAGAACATTTTCCTGTGTTGGAAAGAGAGAGAGAGAGAGAGAGAGAGAGAGAGAAAGATATAAATGCACAAATATTATTATTATTATTATTATTATTTTATGTAATATATCCTGTAAGTATATTTATGCATTACGAAATAATATCTCGAAAAATAAATAAAACACAAATAAAATTTCAAACGAGATGATAGAATATTTTTAATTGTCGTACTAATCGAAATCAAATGCAAATCGTTTTGCACGTCCGAAATAAAATGATAGTGATGACTGTTTGGTAACTGGAATTTTCACGAATACACTATTAGTTGGGGTTTCTCCCGAGTTATGTATATATAGATATATAATAACAACGTTTAAAACGATCAAGCGGTTGCATTGCTAATAATGTATGCCACTCATTATGCGCACGCATCCTTTTCGTCGCGCGTAAACTCGCTTTACGCGTTGGGTTTCACGTCGCGTGATTTACGATTAATTAAGCGCCGTTACCACCACACCACCACCACCACCACCATCACCACCACCACGTCTGCGAGTCATTTACTTTTCGACCAAACCTCCCCCCTCCCCCCACTGTTCTCTTCTCTTCTCTTCTCTTCTCTTCTCTTCTCTTCTCTTCTCTTCTCTGACCTTTTTACTCGTCATCGCGGATACAATTGAGAAAGAAAATTCGCAAAAACCACCAACGAACGAATTAAACTGTTTCTTTCATTTCTCTCTCTCTCTCTCTCTCTTTTTTTTCTCATTACGCAAAAAAATATCGACAATTTCGACCCTTGTTACACGTGATTTCTTTTAATTTGTTAGGAACTTTGTGAGTTACTAATTAGGGTAAACGAACGATTCAATCGAGTAAGGGAAACAAAAAAATAAAAAAAAAAATATGAATATCGTTATTCAGCCCCCCCCACTTCGGTGATATTTAACGAAGTTACTTTCAATAATTATTGTTTCGAATATATCACCATCATATCGTCATCAATAATTCTTCTCTTGATTGGATATGTTTTTTCTAGCACCGTACAGAAAAAAAAGAATGATTTGAAGAAAGCATTAGCAGCATTATTGGGAATATAAAAATTCTAAGAAGAAAAGTAAGAGAGAGTAAACAGGTTAAGGAGAATAAGAAGAAGAATAAGGGTACGAATGAACGTAAAGGAATATTCCGGTCATGCGTCAGAGGGTTAAGGAGAGGGCGCCTTGCTGGCCGCATTGATTTACGTTGAGGAGGATAGACAGGCAAGGAGAGGTGAAAGAGGAAGAAGAAGAAGAAGAAGAAGCAGACGTAGAAAGTAGAGAAAAGGAACGTGAGGGGGATGAGATAACCATAGTCGTAGAATTGGAATCCTGGTAATCGGAATGGTTGATCTCAATTGTCCTGTTTCGTCCCTCAACCAAAGGTATCCTGCCCTCTCTTTCCCTCTGACATCTTCCCATCCTCCCATCCTCCTATCGAAGCAACCCACTCCACCTCATCCCACCCCAACAACGGTCGCGTGGATACGTGGTCGAACCACCAGGAGGATATCGTATAATTATCGGATGGCAGGTAACTCGAACAGAGAGTCGCCCGGTTTTAATTGGCCAATTATCGTGGCGCGAATAGGCGCTGCCGCCGGTCCAGATAGGCGTGAAACTTTTGGGGTGGCCAGCTCACCGAGCGACACAACGCGACTTTCTCTGACGAATATCTTTTTCGTAGGATGGTGAGGGGATTGAGAAACGAGGAGAAAGGGGGTGAGAGAGAGAGGTAGGGTAACGTTGACTGTACGAGAAAGCTCGATCTTCCCTTAACCGATGTCTGTGTCCCTTTCTACGTGTGTTAGGGTGTAAGCACATATACGTACGGTTATTGGAATGTGTTAGATGTGCTTGCGTATACCTATATGCACGTAGAAGCAGAATCGAGATCAGAATCGGGAGCACGAACGGGCGCAAATTGGTCACGGCTGGTCTGTTCGATCTCGTCGTCCTATCTTCCTCTCTCTCTCTCTCTCTCTCTCTCTCTCTCTCTCTCTCTCTCTCTCTCTCTCTCTCTCTCTCTCTCTCTCTCTCTCTCTCTCTCTCTCTCTCTCTCTCTCTCTATCTCCTTTCCTCTCCGATCGTCGTTTCTATCTATCTATCCAGTAGCTATCCATTCACCTATCCACCGGGCACCTAGCAAGCGAACGACCACCCCTTCGACAAGCGGTGCACCGTTTCGGAACTATTAGGAACACTCGCTTCTCTAGTCTCCAACCCCCGGCCACGCTTTTGCCAGGTGGCCTAATCCCGACGTTCGAAAATTCACCTGCGCCACAGACTTGTTTCCGATTCACCTACACGACTTCTATTTCTATCTCTCTCTTTCTCTCTCTCTCTTTTTCTCTATTCCCTTTTCTCGTCTTTTCACGTTTGACGTTTAACGAGCGTTCTCTTCATGGAGATTCGATACGATGAAAAAAAAAAATAAAAAAGAGAAAAAAGAAAAATAAAAAAGCAAACGACGAGTCTACGCTTGGTCTACGTTAGCGAGAGCTATCGCGTCAAGTTACGAAAGAAAAATCTCGATTTGGTGATTTTAACGAGCTACATATTTATCAACAACGATTTCACCCCTTCCCAAAAAACAAATAAAAATAGAACAACGAAAAATTATATATATCAAAATGAAATAAAAAAATAGAAAGGCAGAAAAGAAGATCATCGTTGGGCGTAATTTGGGAAAAAGATCGATCGGTACGAATACAGGTATCATCATCGTACGATTATCCGGAGTTAATTCGATGGGGTGTACCTATGGTGAATATATATATCTATGTATATACACACACACATATATATATATATGTCAAGAGCGAATCGAGAGATTTACATCGAATGGACAGAGAACGAGTGACAGAGATGAGGTTAGTATATTCAATTAAAGAGAGAGAGAGAGAAAATGGTAGATAGTAGAAGGAGGAAAACGTGGAAGTTTAGTGTGGCAAGCAGGCAGGCAGACAGGCAGGCTCATCTACCGGTTACGTTCGATTGGCTGGCAGGGCGGTAGGCCAGCAATTACCTAAATGGTCGGGTAAACAATATCTGTGCACCGGAGTTAAGAGCGACGACGGTAGCAGCGACAGCAACACTGGGCTCTGCCAGTGGTGGCGACTCGCTTTCGTTCGTCCATCCATCCATCCATCCATCGTTGTGTTGATTTTGGTTTAGTTCTCTCTAACCAATCTTCCTCTCTTTCACTCACTTAGCTAGAATTTCGAGAGAGAGAGAGAAAGAGAGAGAGTAGAACCAGAACGGGATACTACGATTATACCCCTGCGTGATTACTATATCTACTGTACGTTCAACAGAGTGACGAAGAGAGAAAGAGAGAGAGAAGGGGAGAATGATGGGTGCCGCCTACAACACGGTCACCAACGCAACACTACTAGGTCCGATAGGATCCAATAGCAATGATAGTACACTACCACCGATCAACAAGATCATTGCTAGAAGCCTAGTGTAACTTGCAATCACAGATACAACACAACGGTCGAGCAGCCAGCTAGCCAGCTAGCCAGCCAGCTAGCCAGACCATGATTTCTCTGCATCCTCGACGTAAACGAAAGTGCGTGCGTGCGTGCCTGTGTTGTGAAGCCTGCTAAGAGCGTACGTGGGAGTGAGAGAAAGAGATAGTAGCATTCCTCTATCGACGGAAGAGCGGTGAACATTGGTGGTGGTGGTGGTGGTGGTGGTTGTAGTAGTAGTGACGACGGTAATGGTGGTAGTAGCAGCGGTAGCGGTGGCGGTGGTTAAATCAAAGACAAACCACTTTAGCCAGTCGGATCGTGACGAGGGGGTTGATGGGGGTGTGGTGGCTTGAGAGGTAACGCAGGGTGGGGGTGGGGTGAGGTGGTATAGTCTTGTGTACATATCCGAGTATCTGGCGAAAGCTCGCTCACACTGGCGAGGACCGTGAAACGTTTGCACGCGTCTAGCTCTACTATTCATCTGTCTCTTTCCTTCTCTCTAGGTTTCTCTCTTTCTCCCTAGGTCTCTCTCTGTCTGTCTTTCTCACTCGCACTCGTTCATTCAGGCCCTAGCGTGAAAGCGTTCGAAGAGGGCAGAGAGGGTTGGTTTGCACCGTCGTCGTAGTCTCTCCGGCACGCGACGTCTAGATGTGTGCGTTAACGGGAAGAGCACGTGCGTCCGCGCAACCCCCGCAAAGGGCACTACCGGCACGCCCATTGGCCGAAGAAAGAGCTTTCCGGGTGCGCGAGCCGGCCTACGCTCCGCCCACTCGAGGCGGAACAACCACCCCGCTTTCTCGGTTTCTCGCATCTCGTTGCATCGTTCCTACGACGACGACGACGACGACGACGCCGACGACGACGACGACGACGACGACGACGACGACGACGTCGAGGACGGCTACTACGACTACGACGCTTTCCTCCAGAGTACTAATAATACGCCGATATATATCCACCTATTCTGCCACCATGGTTCTACGTGGGAGTTCTCGGCGCAGCTTCCACGGTCCGCGCATCGCCTCCTCGCCGAAGGAAAGACGTCGCTGATCGGCCACGCCGAGTAGCAGCAGCACCAAGCAAGAAACTACTCCACTCTGATCGTTCTGCTGCTAGTTCTCCTTTCCTGTCACCTAAATACTTTCTATCTATACAGATCATATATAATCTATACATACATCTTCCCGGTGTGTTTAAGTTGTCTTTATAGTTTTTGTGATGGATTCGCGTCATCGATAGTGTCATCGAGTGAAAGTAATCGTCCAAGAAGTTAACTTATTCTTGGATGAGAATGAAGGAGATCGGTTGAGAATCATTGGTATTTTAGCTTTAAGGGTGATGTGGAGGATGCAGGAGGGTAGAATCGTGTCGCCTCTAGGACCGGTCGTCCTGCCTAGGGAGGAGGCCGACACGCGCGTTCCACTTTCGATGCCTTCGCAGGAAAGGAGGCACGTGTTGCTGCACGTACGCACTGCCGATCCTTTCCTACGTTACGAAAACAACATCAGGACGCAGCAAACTAACACGACTAATCAACAGCAAGTATCGTCATCCTCGCCACCACCCCATCAACAACAACAACAACAACCACCACCCAGTTCGTTGTCGAGTCCTAGCGTGACAACGATTTCACCGATCTTGAGGGCCGTCGCGAGAACGAACGACGATTTGGAAGGGTCGAGGATTAGGGATAGGAAGAACGACGTTGATATGGAGATGGAGGATGAGGACGAGGAGGAAGAAGAAGAACGGAAGGAACGTGATGCGGACGAGGATGACGACGACGAGGACATGGACGACGAGAGAAAGACGATAGAAAGGAGAAACAGGAGCATGGGGGACGAAGAGGAAGATGAAGAGGAACAAGAAGAGGAAGACGAGGAGGACAGCAGAGAAAACAGGGACGAGGAGGATGTCGAAGTTGACGTTTGCAGAGAAGAAAGTCCGGAAAGTAATCCAAGTAGTCCGGTCGACTTAACGGCACCCTCGTCAAGGGGTACCGATCAACAACTCTTCCTTAATCCCTTCGGAACCCGTATGACGCACACTTTTTCTTGCGTTCAAGGAACTGGACCACCAGTTGGTGGTGGTGGTGGTGGTGGACACTTAGGTGGAGTACAAACGGCACCGCACAACGCGCCGCCGTCGGTCTACATTTCCGGACACGTAGCTACTGGTTCCGCGGTTATGACCATTTGTTCCGGCGGTAACGGAAGTTCGCGAACCACGACTGGAAATATAACGAGCACTACGGCAACTAACACCGTACCACCCACCACTAAGAGGTGCTTAGCATTCTCCGTTGAAAACATACTAGATCCAAACAAGTTCACCGGCGGACGCGTTATCCACAATCGGGTGCAACATCGACGTCATCGTCGATCCGGCAGCGTACACGAAGGTGAATAATCTTTCTTACCTTTCCCTCTCCGCGTCTTACTTATCCCTATTCTTTCCCTTCGGTGTATTTAAAAAACTAATTCAGAGATTCGCACGATCAGGGTTTAATCGGTTCAAGGGTAGGAGACACATCTTTTGGAATATTTCGATGTAGCAGCAGAATATTTACGATAGCAAGAATCTACCACGAATTTATAACTTTGGACTTTAAGCCAGTCCTCGTAAATAGTTTACACGGAAATTTATTTGGCAAACGGAATAAATTCGCAAGAGAAACCGAAATCTCTCATATCTTCCTCTCTGTTTTCTTCTTCTTCTTCTTCTTCGTCATTTCCTTTCTTCGTATTTAAACTTATTGTTAGATATAACGTCGGTCGGTCGTGTGTCGTTCTCTCTCAAATGTTCATCGAATCGTCGGGAAGTAACTAAGTTCGTCAGGACGGCGCCGTTTATCGTATTTTTCTCTAACATCTCTTGGTCGTTCGACACGAGGAGAATTTCGCATACATGCGTATGCCCTCTCTCTCACGCTTCTTCCTCGTTCTAATTTTAGACTCTGGAAGGACGAGTTCCTCCACAAAAAGAAAGAGAGTGAGAGAGAGGGAGACAGGCCGCGCAAGATTTTTCCTCTCATCGTTGGCTATTTGTGCATCTAACCTATGTATATGTGTACATATAATATATATATTAAGTTGTCCCATAAGTTCTTTCCGCGCCACGCTATGCATGACTTCGAGCTGACTATGTTTGTAGACATGCAGGCTTATCTATTATCAATTTATGGCATCGATTTTAGTCGTCTCACAACTCTTTCAAGAGTTCAAAACGGTTCATATATAACACAGTAAATCAACCTTAAATAACAAATATCGTTCTATTGAAGTCGCATAAAAAAAAAAGGAAGAAAGGAACTTATGGGACAACCTAATATATGTAAGACCTAAGAATTAATCACCGTCATTCCTCTGGGATTTCACGAATACAACTAAACACACCTCGTAATGGAATAAAAAGAATATTAGAATAGGTGAAAAAGTGTTTTTTCAGGTACGACAACTAACTAACCGATATTCGAATTCGTGCAAACGTATTCCCAAAACTGTAAGTTAGATCTGTTAGGAGCATGTGGTAGGAGAATTGATATATAATTAAAAGGATTCTAATTCCTTAGAGGATGATTATGATTATTAGTTTAACGAAGTTAGACGGTAGGCGAACATTTAAATTATTTCTATTTCAAGACAATTGTAAGAATAATTTAAGTAAAGAAGTTGAATCATTAGAAACCATATACATTTTACGATTTTCTTTAATTTTCACCAATTCTTTCTATAAAAATACGTTAAGAGTCTCCCCAGAAATTAACCTACTTTTCTATTTTCTCTTTCGTTGATTGGTAATCAAAATATGATGTCGAAAAATTCTTTGAATACTGTAACACTCGAGCAATTGCTATCGTTAAACTAGAAATCATATTAATCATCGGGAACCAACCCAACATCGGCTTAGAAAGCATTACTTGTGTAGGAAAAAAAAATTCAAAAGGGATATCTTTCGAATGCTCATTGGCCCGACTAGTTGGGCTGGAATAAATGTCTCGAAGGGTGCCAATTTCACAGTTGACTTTCGAATTTAATGGAGTCTGGCAGACAGATAAGCGACGAAGAAGAAGGTATCCTTTGGCGATAAAGGCTACGAAGAAGTATCGGAATTGAAGGAAGAAGAAGAAGAAGAAGAAGAAGAAGAAGAAGTAGAAGAGGGTGAGGATTTGAAGAGAAAAAGAGATAGATACAGTACTGGAGTAGGGCTGTCGGAGCGTGACAAATTGCTCCGCTAATCTGCGTTAACCAGTCCTTGAACCCCCGCCATGATCGTCCCTTTATCCCGGCATGGGACAACGGACAAGATCAGCCCTAAACTTGTCCATCTTCCGTTCAAACAAAAACTTAGATATCTATATCATTTGACTGTACGTACGGAAGAAATTATTTTTTTCCCGAAAAGTAATTGCCATTAACGTAGAATGCTAATGTAATCGCTGACTAAGATGAATCCGAAAGAGAAAGCGGTTATGCTACAAAGTTACATTATGAATATTAAAAGAAATGAAGAAAATGAAATCCGAAAAAAGGGAAGAAGGAGAGGATAAATGGACGTTTAACAAAATTGATATCGATGTTTAAAATACGACACGTAGTTTAAATTGGTTCAACCGTATTATGAGATAATTTTTAATAACATATTTAATGTTACAAATTAAAGAAGAGAAAAGAGGATGAGTGAAAAGGAATGATATCTGTAGTTGAGAGGGATGAGTGAGAAAACGGGGGATCGGATCGATCGTACGATGAAAATCGGAATTACACGATCCTCGTCGAGCAATCCATCTTATAGGGGGGTGGTCAGAGGTTCCTATTAAAAGTGCATCAGTGCCAGGGCCGATCGGTAAAATCCGTGGTGGTAGTAGAGAGAGCGTGTCGAGTTTTCCGGACCCCGAATCCGCCGACGGAATAATATCGTCGGTTGTTATGATAATCGGTCGGCATCACACCGTATCGCGTCGCATCAAACCAAGCCGCCCAGAAAATTGGCTCTTCTGCATCACAATGACTTCTATCTCTCTCACTCTCTCACTCTCTCATTCGCATACACTCGCTGTGTGCTCTCTCTCTATTCTATATCCAACCCCTACCCCATGTCGTACTCTCTCTCTCTCTCTCTCTTTTCTACCCCTACCCACCACCCTCGTAGCACAAGCTCTTCCTTCTCGTCAAACGTCCTAGTGTGATTCTCGGCTTCGTACTTTGAAATCCATTCGACTTCCGCTACATTTCCTAGCAAGTTTTTAATCACAGTCTAGTTTTTTCTTTTTTTTTTTTGGAATACTTATAATCGAACGAGTTTGGTTAAATTGATTATCAACGTTTCTTTCTTCTAGATAGTCACGAAAATATTACGCGTGTAAAGAAATTAATTCTTTTAATTTAATATTTATTTAGTAATGAATCGTACGTCTGTTATTCTTCCTATTATTTTTAATAACTTCGATCCGCCTTTCAAGCAACTGTCTGGAATTCTCCGACAACTTTTTATGCAAATTAATTAAACCCTTTAACACTGTTGAACTTCTCGTCTAAAGGCTTTCTCAACAGTTCGAACTTTATTTGTCTTTATTAAGTTACGTAATAATATGTGATTTAGTTAATAGGCAAAATCATATGCAACTAAAGTTTAACTTTAAATTCAAACAGTTTGACCTTCAGCAATATAGTTGGCGTGCATGAAAAGAGGTACACTTCGAGTACAACACAGCAATACTTGTGAGGAGGTACTTCGAGTGCATAATGTTAATAACGAAGCATCGAATTAATTGATACATAACTTAATAAAAAAAACAACACTTTCTATTTTATTTTGTATTATTTGGAAATAGAATATTAAACAAAATATGTATCGAATCGATTCTCGTATTATTTACGAATGCATAGACTTATCGAAGGATAATAAACTGAACTATAAACAGAAGAAAATCGAATCCTAGCGTTAGATCATTGCCAACATTGAACATTTGTGCTCGTCGAACGATAAAATCGCGTATAGGGAATATTTGTTCGCTCTTGAACGTCGTTAAACACCGGCACATTGTGTTTAATGAGGAAAACCGAGACGAGATAAGTATTCCCGAACGGTTCCAGACTTGGTTCTCTAGTCCCAAGCGTACCCCCTTAACGTACCCCCTGGGAACACGCAAGCAGGCATCCCCAATCGTTTCTCTGTTGTCGCCCTTTTCAACTTTCGAAAAGGGAGAACGAAAAAGAGCTAAGCGATATAGATGATTTCGTCGTTATTATTCCTCCTTCTGTACTTTAATGAGCCGATGATTTCTCATTATTTAAGAATATAAACATAACTTTCTTAAGTACACCCCACATAATATTCTTTTAGCGTAATGATATTTAAAAAAAAAAAAGGTGAATTATTTTTAATAATAACATTAACGGGATATGTTACGAATAATGCAGTCCCGTTTCCGAATAGATAATCAAAGTGGTAGAATAAATATTAAAGGGAAAGTGGGCATGGAGTGGTGGTGCTAGTAGAATAAAGAAATAAAGAACGAAAAAATTCATTTAACAGGTAGATCAGATTCTTCCACGTTCCACTGATAAAAAACATCGACGAGATGACTAGATAGGGAGAACTGAATAAGGGGGGGGGAGTAAAGGGTAGCTGAAAGAAGGGGATGGACTGCGAAACAGTTGCATAATTCCCTTCCTAGGCGTTGAGCCGTGCGGACGTTAACGAGTTACGAAGCTCGTTATTACGAAGAGCAACGCGTTTCCCGGTAAATATGTACGGAAATAAGAAGAAGAAGAAGAACGTTGAAACGAACCCCCAACCCAGGAAGAAGACTGCAAATTCCTAAAAAGAGATGGAAAGAGAAAGTGTCACACGGGATAAAGAAAAAGAGAAAGAGAAAGAGACGTATGAAGGAAGAAAAAAAGAAAGAAAGAAAGAAATAAAAAAGACACATTTCCTTTGACAAGTGGAAATAGAAAACCGGGGATAACCGATAGTAGTTCTCTGAGAAAGAGAAAGAAGGGAAAAAGAATAAAAGAAGTCGTTCTAGGGACACGAACAACGATATAAATTACGCAATTCAATTAAACGCGATCGATCGGTTTCGTGTAGGTGGAGGAGGAGGAGGAGGAGGAGGTTGAAAACTCGGTAAAAGAAAATTAGAGAAAGGGAGAATAAAATGAATAAAAAGAAGAAAGAAACGAAGAAAGAGTTGAGCGAGAGAGAGAGAGAGAGAGAGAGAGAGAGAGAAGGATTGAGAAAAATTAGAGATGGAGATAGAATAAAAGGGGTAGATAGGATGATAGTGGTAGGTGCAATAAAACAATAAGAAGAATAAGAATAAGAACAAAAATAGTAGGAAAAGGAGAAGGATAGCCAGGTTGGCGAGCTGTACGACGGGGGCAAGAACGATCGCGCGTTAACGAGATACAAATCCCATTACGGCGTAAACCTTCTCGATCCGTCGCCCCCTACGGACTTTCAGCCCCCAGGCAGCAGCCGCAGTACTGGGCTATGGGCTATGGGCCACGAGCCACGCCAATTCGGATAAAGTCTCTCTCACTCACTCATTCTTGTATCCCGGACCTATCTATCTATATCCGTCTCACTTTCTCCGTTTAATTCCTACGATAGAAAGAGAAAGAAATAGAAATAGAGAGAGTGAGAGAGAGAGAGAGAGAGAGAGGTCTAACCAACGTCGCACGCTTCCGATATTCTCTCTTTCAAACCGCCATCCAACCTTTTCTTTCTCTCTCCCACGCAGTTCGATTCCACTATTTCTCTCTTTTTCTTTCTCGTTCAACAACCCCTCTCGCAAGCATCCTCTCCTCCTCATCATCATCCTCTTTCTCCTCTTCCTCCTCCCAGGGGCATCCCCAAGCTCCACCACGGACCAGAGAGCCAGGGAATATCTGTCCCCGGGACATCTGCGTGCTGATTGAATCTCCAATCTCCTCTCTCTCATTGAGCGAACGATTGGCCGGCCACACTCTTTCTTTCTCTCTCTCTCTCTCTCTCTCTCTCTCTCTCTCTCACCCTATATCTATCTATCTATCTATCTATCCATCTATATATACTTTTTTTTCTCTCACTCGTTATCGTTAACGATCATTTGGTCGATCCTACAGCTATCTCTCTCTCTCTCTCTCTCTCTCTCTCTCTCTCTTATTATTCCTTTTTGTTACATCGTAAAAAGATATTCTTTTGTTCAAGAAGAACACCTAGGAAACAAATCTATCTTACGGAAAAAAGTATCATACAGATATCGAAGAGAGAAACGAGAAAAGGTCGAGAGACCATCACTGACTGGTAAGGGGCCAAAGGGGGGATTTATATAAGATACGAGAGAGATATAGAGAGAGAGAGAGATATCGCAAGTAGTATCGCGTTACATTTTCCAACGAAGGAAAACCGACACTCGCGTTGCCGACAGCCACGCAATTTTGTCCCTTGTATAATAAATTTTCGTCACGCGACACCTTCGTACGAACGAACGTACCCATGACGCGCGAACACCACGCTTATTGCTTTCAGTATCGTTTCCCTTTACCTCCCCCAACCCATTTCTGTCCCCTTGGTGCACGGATTATTCCCTAAAGTAAGAGGAGACACGCACGGATTCAAGATAGAAACAGTGAGTGGACTCTGACTGACGATCTTCTTTCTTTTTTCCTTTCAGATGGAGACTCCCGAGGCGAGTTTGCCTCTGGCAGTGGTCAAGAGGACGAAGAAGGAGCCGTCGAAACTGCGATGGAGGAAACTGAGGAGGACGTGGAGGAGGACGACGAGGAGGAGGATATAGAAATGAGAGTAGTGGTCGATCGTGACCCCTCTAACGTAACTCGTGATCTCGGAAATCAGCCCTCAATTGGTTCTAATAATAACAACAACAACAACAATAATAACAACAACAATAATAACAATAACGGTGCATCGAATGGTTGCAAGAAGAGACAATCCTCTTCCTCGTCCTCCTCATCGTCTAGCGGCGTTCAAATACAGAACTGTCAGAGTCAAAATGGTCAAGAACAGAACTCTCAAAACGGTTCGAGTAATAGTGGGGGTGGTAGTGGGGGTGGTAGTGGTGGTGGTAGTGGTAGTGGTGGTGGTGGTAACAACGGTGGTGGTAGTACAGGTGGTAAACCAAGAAGAGCTAGGACTGCTTTCACTTACGAACAACTGGTAGCATTGGAGAACAAATTTAAGACTACGAGATATTTGTCGGTATGCGAACGCCTAAATCTTGCATTATCTTTATCCCTGACGGAAACTCAGGTTAAGATTTGGTTCCAAAATCGACGGACCAAGTGGAAGAAACAAAACCCGGGATTGGACGTTAACAGTCCAACTGTACCAACTACCCCACCGCATCCGTCACCTTACGCGCCAGCTTTCCTATTCGCAACGCATCCTCATCAACATCCTTTACCACATTCTCACGCGCATCCTCATCCTCATTCGCACGCACACGTTCATCATCCGTCGGCAGTGGCACCTCCACCACCTGGTTATTATCATCATCCGGCAGCACCACCAACGGCCTATGCTCCACCCGGAACAACCTTCTTCGGACACCACCTTCCTACGACGCCTACAGCCGCCACAGTTTCTGCATCTGCATCAGCAGCAGCAGCAGCAGTTGCAGCAACTTCGTCTCCTTCCTCGACCTCGGTCTTGGCCCTATCATCTCACACCCATACTCACGCACATCCACACCCGCACGCGCATCCGCACGCGTAGCGAACTCGAAAATCCTCTTCCTCGATCGAATCTTATTCTTCTTAGGCTTCTTTTATCGTTGCGATAGAAGACCAATTTTATCACCTTTGTAATATATTCCATTTGTTTCATTGAATGAAGGAAAAGTAAAGATAGAGAGAGAGAGAGAGAGAGAGAGAAAGAGTTAAACAGTTACAAAGTTACAGTTAAAAAGTGAGGAGTTTCATGATGAAACGTATTGTTATTTGATTGCTTTATTTGTTTCTTTCTAAAATTCTTTTCTTTACCATTCTCTCTCTCTCTCTCTCTCTCTCTCTCTATCTCTCTCTTTCTTTTTTCCACCATCGAAAAAAAAGGAGGAAGAAAAAGTAGATTCTATCCCAAAAGTTTGTAGCTTTAAGGTATGCGTGTGGCGAGTGAGAGAATAAAACGTGCGAGTGGATTTGAATATACGAAAGTGAAAGAGAAAAACTATATTGCGAGTGTGTGTGTGTGTGTGTGAGAGAGAGAGAGAGATAATATACAGGTGCAAATACGCGAGAAATCAAAATGAATTTAGCGAAAAACACACTAATATACACGCGGCCACGGAAACATACATTCATACAACATATATATATATATATATACGCATAGATACGTACATAAATCCATACATTTATACGTACATAGAATACATATATACATCATACAGACACACACATACACAGACAGGAGTTTGGTCGAGCACACGGAATACAAGACAAATTTATTGTGCTGAAATTGTGGAAAAACGAACGACGTGAGGCGCAATGAGCGTTCCTCTGTAAAATAAATGCCTACCATACGTTACGCTCGTAAAACCTTTGCCAACGTGAGTTCCATGGCACGTGGACACGAGGAAGACCGATTTCAATGCTTCGTTCGACCGCCTCTAAATTGAGTAAGAACGAATCAGAGAGAGTGAGTGAGAGTGAGAGAAAATGGTAAATGTTGAGATCCGACTATGAATAAATAGCAGTGGGGAAAGGCTTGTAAATTTGTGTCGTTACGTGTTAAATCACCGTAACGATGAAGCATATAAGCTCAAAGAGACGGTCCGACGAACGCTTAAAATCGATCTACAATCGTATAAAACCCTCTCTTATAGATCATCCACTTATATGATACATATTATTTCTCTACCACGAGACAACTAAACCCCCAACTATAAAAGATAATTTTGGAAATCTACGATTACACCTATGATGCAGATTGGATTGGTATATAGGTAAACAAATAAAAGCAAAAGTTTGCTTTTTTTTTTTTTTTTTTTTAAGGAAAAATTAAATCTATTCTCTCTATCAGGTAGGTACGTATATAGATATGTGTTTGAGTATTGAGAATAATTGAATGGTACAATAGAAAAGTAGTACAAGTAATTTTCTTTCTTTTTTTTTTGTAATTTGAGATAAGTGCATAATTATAAAATAGACCGATTGCAATGTCTTGCAACGAGTGAGTCATTTATTTGAAATTTAAAAAAAAAATTATGTTACATGTGTGTACCACTTTTATCTTTTGTCAACCATTCAATTAGAAATTTCGATATATTATTCCTGTTATATTTTGATCGATTCGTTGAAATAGTTTGTTGGAATCAGTAGTTTTTTATTGTCATTAGGTAAAGTTAGGTTTGAGAAGATAAAAAGAAAAATACAGAAGAGAAATAAAGAGAGAGAGAGAGGAGTCTTTTCAAGGAACGACAGGAAGAAGAAAAAGTTTCGTTAAACGTGCTCGGCCATTAGACGACCGGATGACGAAGAATATGATGACAAAGAAGAATAAGAAGAAGAAGGAACTTCACGTAAGATTCCTCTTTGAAGCAGCACACGCGTTCTCGCGCGTGGCTCGAAGAAGACAAGGCACGCTTGTTCGACTCTCTCCGAGCTGGCCAAGTTCGATCGACGGAAAATTGCTCGTGGTTCTCTTTGATGCTAAATTTAGTAGGTGTCTCCTACTATTTCTTCTTCTTCTTCTTCTTCTTCATTTTCTTCTTTTTCTTTTTCTTTTTATTATTCTTCGTACTTTCAACACGTGCAAAAGTTCTCTATAATTTCTCCTTGAAAATTTCTTTGTCACTTTATTTGGTTACTATAGAAATATACCACCTATATGAATATAAGTTAAGAATATCATCTCAAATATGATAGATAAAATACGTAAGTATTGTATATATGAAATTAATTCAACTAAACCAAGACCAACTAAACTATGAAACAATTATACTGACTGATTAAAGTATGAAAGAAGAAAGTATTAGGTTCTTTAATTAGATAATATAAGAATTCACGCGAGAGGCGAGTAGTTAAAGAATGAAATTAAAATTAGTTCCGATAGAACATACAGAACATTGATTTTCAAATTACAGGAAGAGATTGAGAACGGTAATAACTACGAGTATTTTTGTAGAAAGATAAACATACTTTAAAGACGGATTAAATTGTAATCTCATACTTTAATTACTCGCCTACTCATGAGTACATCATATATTGTCTAATTATTTCCTAAAACAATTAGTTAAAGTGTATAGTCAAATTCTTTTTTTTTTATATGGTTATTCTAAAAGACTTTATTGTTAATTATTTAGCGTATTACTTAATGATTAGATAAATAACTCTAAATTATACACTTCAACGTTAACATCAGCCCACAATTTCTTTCTTTATCCGAGAAAACGGGAAGCGTTGGTGTGAAAGAAGCAGAAGAGAAGGAAAGGAAGATTTGAGGGGAAGCAAATCTCGACTGATCCGTTGGAGAAGAAGAAGAGAAAAGGAGGGTGGTTACGGGGGTGGAGTGGGGTGGGGTGGTGGGAGGTATGGGTAAAATGGGAAATGGTGGTGGAAGAAAGTGGAGTTAGTGGATAGGGATGGGGGTGGAGGTGGGGGCTTGGGTGTCGCTCGCCGGACGATTCTCTCGAATTAATTCTTAGGGGTGGATTTCGAAAGGGGGCCCGTCACCGTCGTCCGTAAGGGGTGCGAGTGAACCGAGTGGACCGTGAAATAACCAAGCCCCGCGCTCGCGACACTCTTACTCTCCCTACGTTTGGAGGTTCTGACAGTGGCGTAAGCTCGCGATTGCCAACCACGATTTCGCTTGCTTCTTCTTCTTCTTCTTCTTCTTCTTCTTCTTGCCATTATCTTCTCTCGATATAATTTGAGATAGCTTGGATGGAAGAAATTGTCGTTCGGGAAACGACGTAACGCTACCCTCTAGACAAAAAAAGAAAATAAAAAAAAAAAAAAGAAAAGAACGAGCGTACGATTTTACCCGTTACGATAAAGGCCAAAAAAAAAAAAAAAGAAAGAAAGAAAATAAATAATAATCGAATGAAATAAAATAACACATAGAATAAAATCAAAATCAAATGAAATGAAATGAAATGAAATAAAATAAAATAAAATAAAATAAAATAAAAAAGGGAAAAAGAGAAAACTACGAAGATAGATAGATAGATAGATAGATAGATAGATAGATATACGCGCGAGGCAAACACAATTTTCCCAAATTGCCATTAATACGTCGACCGTTTAAAAGCCGAGCTCGATTGCTCTCTCACCGTGGTGCGTCGCGTCGCTCGTCGATTAATGGAGAAAATTGCGTTGCATTGCGTTGCGTTTCGCGTATTAATGGCGGCAAAGGCAACACCAGATTTTAGGATCCTACCGATATTTTCAATTAAATCAGAAACGCTTGAAAAGATAATCGCGATCTCGTTAACGTTTATGCAATTAAAAGCTGTCTTCTTCTTTTTATTTCCTCCCATCCTCTCTATTTTATAATATTAAATTAACAAAAAGGAATATCCCTTTACTATCATCAAGAGAGAGAGAGAGAGAGAGATAAAATATCGACACTAATTTAATGACTTCAATCGCATATACTATAAAGTAAAGTAAATTTACCGATATATATTACTGCTCGTCAATTTTACATAACAAATTCATTACGAGGAATTTAACTTATCCATCGTACGATCAAACACATTCGAGCGTTGGTTAATCCGATGGTCGAAACTCCAAAACCCTTATCAAAAGAACTCAAAAGAATCATCTCGTTTCAAGTGGAAAATTACCCAGACAGATAAGATAAGTCTCCGTTGAAAAAAAGAGAACATTGAATTTTCTTCTCTATAATTTAACAATTATAATTATATATATATATATAGACTCTTTTTAAAGTTCATTGACCTTTTTCTTCGGTAACAAGCAAACAGACTGTTTCACCGGATCTCTCTCTCTCTCTCTCTCTCTCTCGACTTTCTCCAGTTTTCTCTCTTTCTCTCTGATGTATTTTAGCCTCGGGTGATTCGAGGTCGAGGGTACGTACCCGTCGAGGGAATCGGGTCGGTCCGTTTAAGCGTGTAATAGCTCAATAGCCGTCGCGTTCGTGCCCTCTGACCCCTGACCCTTCCTTCCTCCCTTCCTTCCTTCCTTCACCCTTCATCCAAGTTAACCGATCGTTCTAGCAGGTATATTAAACGTACATCGCATGAGCTTGATACTTCTTCAACTTACATCCTTCCTTCCTTTCGTTTATTCCTACATTTCTTCCAACCTTTTTCTTTCGTCCTTGAAAGAAGTCCTAGCACCCTTATACCAAGGAGACACCCAACAGCCCTTCGTTCTCACTCGGTATCTATAGAATATATACCTAACCGATGCACTTTGGCTTAAGCCGAGGCGAGATAAAGCCATCGTGCTTCTTACCGGGACGATTTCCTCCATCTCCTTCACCCTCTACCTCTACCTCCTCCCTCTTTTCCTCCTCGATACGGCACCCGAGTGCTCCTGTCTCGTAGTTAAATCGGATAGCAGACCCCGGGGCTTCGGAGACGAACAAAAGCCTCCGCGAATCGATCGATCGACCGCGGCCCGTTATCTTTTGCGTCCGTGCCTCTCTATCCTACTCTCTCTTTCTCTCTCTCTGTCTCTCTATCATTCTCTCTCTCTCACTCATTCTCTCATTCTATCGACTCTTTCTCTTCCAACTTACTATTTCTGTCTGTCTGTCACATTCTGTCTTTTCCTGCTACTATTTTTTAACTTTCTTTTGCAATAAAAGTCAAGAACTTATAATATAATATGTTGTACATCTATTTTGGCGGTATAATTTTTTTTTTTTATACAAATTTAACAATTACTTATAAAGTAATATAACATCTGTAACTCTTCGAAATTGTGCTGAGATTATTTTCGATTATTTTGGTCAATTTTTCAGGCAATTGTATTATAATCCCTTGACGAAAAGAAAATT